TATTAATAGTTTAATCTACTTAAAAATGTCTAATGCACTATAATATTTAATACCAGAAAACTTATAAAAAAAATGGTGTATTGATATATCTAAATATATTTAATGTTTTTTTAATTCATCATATGAGTGATACATCGTGCTAAATTTTAAAACTCAGACTAAAAATGCATAAAGGTATAGTGTCAACCAACCACATAAGATCAAACTAGAAATGACTATATAATATGTCCTTTTTCAACTAGTTACCTCATTCCTAGAATGGGTGGAGGCTGGTAGCTTACTAGCTTCACGAAAAGGAATTCATAAAAATAGCAAATGTTTTTTCCTGAATATATAACTAAGAAACTTATTTATATGTAAAAATAAATTGAAAGTAATTGATATATTGATCAATTTATTTAATTAATTATATTATCTCATCACAAATCATAAAAATCTAGACGTCAAATAAGGACATTATTTGGTTGTTTGCCTTGAAAACTTTTAGAAAAAGTTTGGGTTAAAGAATTTTTCTAATTTAATACATTACATCTTTAGTATTTGATGAAATAAATTGTCAGGATTTATTATCGTGGTTTTTTCCCGATTTATGGGTCAACTAGCCCATTTATAAATCAAATAAAAAGCTTGGGCCCTTGGGCTAATATTATAACATCTTGTATATTTAGATTTGTCACATGGGTACACCTCAGACAGCCCTTATATATTTTTATTTTACTACGTACGTTTTTTGGATTAATATTTTAATTTAACTCTGATTACTTTTTACAAAATATAATTAATAAGACTAAATTATAAGGAACATCACTACATCACTCTCAATGACCTCAGACCGAAAAAACACAGCTAAAGGACATGATAGATTGGCTTAACATCATGTGGCAATCATATGGAGCTTTTGAAATCTTAAACTCCATATTTCTAATATCAATACACATGAAGTTGGAAAATGAGGTATAAATTCTCATTTGTAGATCGATGCTCAAAAAAGGAAAGAATGTCCATTGTATCGGACACGTTGGTGTTGCAATCCTATTCTCAGAGGCTAAGTCAGTAGGGGATTGCTAAATGCAACTCCCCCAACCATTTTTGTTGAAGTGTAAATATAGTCATCCAAATCTAAATTTTAAAGGGTATTTGTATTAAAACACCCTTTAAACATCCTATAGACATATTTATCAAAAGTCAATATATATGTAACTATTTTTAATCATATTTTTCAAAAAACAAAATAATTCTAACCAATAAAAATACCTTAAAAATTATATAGGGTATCTAAATAGTAATATAGGATGTTATTTTAGCCGAATCTCATTTTAAAACAACAGCCCAATTGGATACGAGTAAACTTATGTGCTACTTTAAATAAGCTTAAATGCAATGTGCCGATCCCCAATTAAAAACCATGCTCATGATCCACAGTTACATTAATTGTTATTGTATTTATTTTGTAATTTTTAATTAATTATATTATTATGATTGCTAATTTGAGCTCTTATAATGACAGGGTAATCATGAAAAAAAACCATGCTCATGATCAACAGTTACATTCAGTTGATAATATTGGGAAGGATGTTATGTTGGATTTAATTTCTTTTTTAAAATAATATTGAAGATAAAAAAAAAATGATATGTTAGATTTAATTTCTCTTATAAAACTTTAGATTATATTATTTTATTAGGATATGACATCCACCCCTGCCTGTCCTATGATGTAAAGCTCGATTTGGTTGATGTTTAATTAATTGTGTATTTTAAATTTAAACTTATTTTATCTTGTATATTCTAGGTTTTTTCTAGTTTTCATTATATTATATTTTATCTGACGTTAAAAAAATGATTATAAAAATAAAGACTAATATACATACAACATGTTTTATTAAATAAAACAACTATAATCACTGTAAAGTAAAATGCAATAAAAATAGAATATGATACATAACAAATCATTTTGATCCTTTTTAACAAAATTTATCCGATTGCACTATAGCTCTTCTAGCATACAAAATCTTCGTAAATATTTTATAAAACATCTTAAAGGATGTTCCAAAACGAACTTTTATAAGTTAGGTTTAACAAGATTTTTCTCTTAAAATAGAATATTTCTTTTGTTACAAGGATTATAAGATATGAATCACTACAATTTATATAAAACAATATAAGCATTCTCCATCAATTGGGAAATTTGGTGTTCAAAGCCCAACTAAATTTCATAATATTCATATCAACAACATTAGAAGCCAAAACAAATCAAGAATCCATAGCAATGTTGTATTCAAGCGCCAAAATACAAAGAATTAACCTAAGAATCAGTAGAATCTTCTTGAGTGACAATAGCTTCAAAAACTTCAAAATATTGAGTGAGTTGTTCTTTTTGGGTTTCGATTTCATCCTCAGAGATTGCTTCAAAATCAATATTCTTCTGCTTAAACACACAACCTCCATCAGTAGACGAAATAACCTTCATTTCACTAAAAGTTGACTCATATTCATTCCCATTTTCCTCTTTAATCATCGCCAAATTGTAAGTAAAGTTCTCTAAATCAATTCCTTTTACTTTGTACTTCACACTTGGAAACTGATCATCCACTACATTTTCCAAAAAAAAAAAAAAAATGAAAGTCAATAAAAAGAAAACAACTATTAACATTCGAATTATAAATTTAGAATATAAAAAAGTTAATTACAAAAGCTCATGAGTTTGATGGATCCAACTCCTCCATCGCCTTCCAATGTCGTGAACGTTATTCCAAATTCTTTTGGAATAACATTTTGTGCTAGAAATTCAAAAAATTTGAGGATGAATTCATGGAAGACCTTCGAAGCAGCTATTGAACTTTTGATCTCCAATTCCCAACTACTACTAACATTAGCCATATTTGTTTGTTATGTCAATTTACTTGTATGAACGATATAAATAGCAATTGAAAGAGAGGGTAGATAAGCTGAGGATCGTGGTTGACTTTTTTGGGGTGATGTTGGAAGTTGTACATGGTGCTTATGTTGTTGTAATGTTCGGGATTAGGCAGAACACATTTGACTGGTCAAACTTTATTGTTGAAGTGGCTGCTAATAGCCTAATAGCTTTGAAAGTTGAAAGCCTTATGGGCCATTTGTATTTCTTTATTAGGAACCTTTAGCATGCCCATTATATGTGTTTTCTTTATTAAGGAGAACAATTATAGATAAGTTTGTGTCAAGTTGTATTGCATTATAACCAAACAAGATTACACCAACATTATTACATTAACGTTAATAGTACTTCAATCCCTTGTGAATAGTACTTAAATGGGTTCTCTTATAGATATATGTAATGTTATATATATATATATATATATATATATATATATATATATATATATATATATATATATATATATATATATATATATATATATATATATATATATATATGTTACAGCTTCACCTAAGTTTAGATACTAAATCTTTAAATTATACAGTTTTATCTTAGTAAATATAAACAGTTCAGTTTTCATTTGGTAAATATACAATACTCCATTGTATTTTTTTTCTTTATTATCGGTTAATCATCTATGTTTTCTTTCCTCCGTGATCGTTTATTATTTCATTTCAGTGAACATTATTTTCTTCCACTATCACGGAAGTCAAAGATAATTAATATTTTTGCTTCCCTATCAAAATTATTGCTTCAATAATATTGAATTTGTAATGTCAATTGTTAATCATGAATCCCTTAATTACAATCTTTAGCTAATAAAATGATGTAGTTTCATGAGGTTTAGTACTTAAGATTAGATGAATCACTAGCCTCCAAACCTAACATATTGTTTTGACATTTGTTCAAATAAGAAAGATGTTATTTAAACCATTTCTAACACACTTCTATTTTTCCTCCAAAAATAAGGTAAATAATATTTCATCTCCAACCTTATTTCATTTTTACCCTAAAATTTATATTGCAATCTTCCAACTTATATAAATTATCATATACACCCTTTCTATTAATTTGGTTGTAACAAATATAATATATATATATATATATATATATATATATATATATATATTACAATAATATTAAATAAATAAGATTATGTTTATAATACTTAATTATATTAATGCATATGATGCAACAAGTATATACTAGGTTCTTTTCCGCAAAAAGGTTAGGTTATACATTCATGAGTTTCTTTATGTATTATTTTGTCATATTTAATATCTCTGTTTTTTTGGTCATACACCATATTAGTAGTGCATACCTTGTTTTAAAATACTAGGTATGCTCTAAAAAAAACATTTATGTTTATATATATGCATGTGTTAGGTTAAAATTAAAACTAAGTATACTATCCATAAATAAATTTAGACTGTATTTATTCTCATTACAATCATTGGTTATTTCAGTATGCTCCATAATCATCTTCACATAATATACGGTTATACATCATATTAAATCAAATAATTAATGTGTCATAAGTTTATAAATAGTCTAACGCCTTCAAATTATTCGGGGACTATAGTGTAAGATTGCAAACTTTTAAGTGGCAAAGTTATACGTTAAGCAAAAGATGGAGGACCATTTGTGTAATTATTGCAAACCAGGTGCTAGTTCCCCTGATCAGGATTTTAGGTCAATTTAGGTAACTGAAGTAAATGATATTCCAGTGGAACACGGCACACGTTCGTAAAGGTGCACCCTCAAATTTCGTCGGTTTATTCCCTTCGTCTTCCACTCGTCAAAACAATAACCTTCACAGAGACCCATATCTCTCTCTCTCTCTTCAAAAACCCTAATTAAAGGATTTCATAAAACTTCGATCGCACCAGAAACCTTAGAACATCCCAATTGCTTAATTCCAATAAAAATAACCCCTTTAATTCGATCACAGAACCGATCAATTTCAAGGAAAAACGCTTATATAGATATACGTATAATCGTATCGCATTTAAAGTATATATCTGTATATATTCCATCTGGTTTTCGTGATCACGACTTCGAAGCCTCAAATTTGTTGTGGGGCATGTCGAATTTGGGTCGGAGCCGGGTCCGGGAGGACAGATTTTACAGCCCACCGGCGATGAGAAGGTACAATCAGCAACAACAGAAACATGTACAACAAGAAGAGCAGAAAGTACAACCCCAACGACAGCAAGAAAAGCAGCAACAATCGGAGTCGTTGATGAGTAGCAGCAGTAGTGTCGTGACAACTAATTTGGATCGGTTTATGAAGCACACGACTCCAATTGTCACTGCTCAACATTTCCCTAAGGTATGGAATAAACATTCAAGAAAAAAATCCAATCACAATGAAGAAATTGAACCTCTCCACTGTCTATCTTGATGCTTTATTACATTGATAATCGACATAATGTTGAATTCGTGGCTTTAGATTAATCGCTAATTTTCAATCTTATTACTTATTTACGTTAACAACCTATTCAAATTCATCATTTTTCTCATTTCCATTTCTGGGAAATTGATAAAATGTGAAACTTACAGATGAATTCATCATTTAGTTTGCGTTTGTTTATGCTTTAACCCTAGTGGATTCTTACTTGTTTTGTACTGTATTTGATTAGATTATACAAGAAAGCCAACATTTTGAGTAATTATCGATCATTGGTCATTGACTTAACATGTGATTAGCATTTTAGCCCTAACACAATTCTTAACATCAATTATTTATTTGAATTATGATCTAAGAGATAATGTTCTTGCAATCATGTAGACTAGCATGAAGGGATGGAGGAATCAAGATTCCAATTACCACCCATACTTCATACTTGGTGATCTTTGGGAATCTTTAAAGGAATGGAGTGCATATGGAGTTGGGGTTCCTCTTGTGTTAAATGAAAGTGACTCTGTTGTTCAATACTATGTCCCATTTCTATCTGCTATTCAACTCTATGTAGATCCATCATCACCTCTAACCACAACAAGGTGAGCTTCTTCTCAATTTCTCATCTCCAATGGCAATATCGTAATTAAAATTTCCACTCATTTTTTGACAAAAACAGAAGGCCATTTGGTGAAAGTGACTCTGATTCTTCAAGAGCTACAAGTAGTAATAGCAGCTATGAAAACAATGTTGCAAAAAACTTCAATAAACTCATGATTAGAAGTGATAATTTAGAGGAAAACGAGATTAGAAACCCACCTGGGCTTTTAATCTTTGAATATTTTGAACGTGCTTTACCATATCATCGTGCGCCTTTAGCCGACAAGGTAAACCCTTCAAGGGTATTTATGGTAATTCACTTGATTACTAATGTTATTGATTCATGAGTTTTACAATTGTCATTGATCTCATCAGATATCAGATCTTGCATCAAAGTTTCCAGAATTGAAATCATATCGAAGCTGTGATTTAACTCAATCAAGTTGGGTGTCTGTTGCTTGGTAAATATTCTATTTTATTTAATTTTTTACACATAATTTCCTATTTCCTGCAATCTTTCCCTAATTTCTATCCACTTTTTTCCAGGTATCCTATATATAGAATCCCTGTGGGCCCATCTTTACAAAATCTTGATGCGAGTTTCTTGACTTTTCATTCTCTTTCAACACCATTAAAAAGTATCCCTCAATCTTTCTATCTGCTTATTTACTTACATGGGTCATAGTTTTTTTGTACAAAAGAGACAAAAAGTTGACATCTTTTTAAATTTTTAAAAAAGATTTGTGTGTGATATTGTGATTCAGGTGTGGAAGGTGATAAGTCAAGTATGATTGAAGTTCATGATGTTGGGATTTCATTACCGATTTTTGGGCTTGCTGTTTACAAGTTCAAGAGTTCTGATTGGACACAAAGTGGGATTCATGGAGCTGAAAAAGTCGATTCTTTGATGCATTCAACTGAGAATTGGTTGAGGAGTTTGAATGCGTATCACCCGGATTTTGTGTTTTTTAAAAATCATGACTTTTGGAGGTAGGAAGAAGATGTGGTGAAAGAGATTAGGTAAAAAAAAAAAAAAAAAAAACTGACAAATGTTTATGTTTTTGGTTAAGGAAATGAGTAGAGAGAGTCCATGTTGGGGCTTTTGGATGATTTGATTTGAAGGGTTTTTGTTTTGGAATGATGGAACTTTGTTGATATGATATGGATGTTGTAGTGTATAAACTATATAGTAGGATGTGTAAACTAATGTGGTAAATTTTAAATTAATTTCTAGGAATGATTTGTTGTTTTCAAATTGTTGGTGTGTTGTCATGGTTAATTGTGTCTTTCAAAGAATGTTATAGACATATATACCCATTGTTATTCTAATCTAGGTAAAATTATTTCTTGGAAATCAATTTGAAGTTCAACTTTAGATGTAATCTTATTACCAACTTTGTATAATACTTCTTGAATTTGGTGTGTATTTATGTTATTTAAATGTGAAATTTATTGTAAAATTGTTAGAGTTGTAATTGGTGTGCTAACTTTGAAAATCACTCTAAATTTTCCAAAATAAGTTTCATGTCAAAAAACATTAACAAAGTTTAGATGTTTTCCGAGTCAAGTTTACTATATTAGTTCTCAATACTTCTTCAACTGGTGAAATATTAGGGTTGCGTTTGGTTACGGATAGTTTTCATTTTCTATTTTTCGTTTTTTCAGTTTTCGTTTTTCATTGGAAAATTTAGAAAACGCATTTAATTAAAACTTATTTATTTTTCATTTTTAGTTTTAGAAAATTAGAAAATGTGTTTAGATGTTTATATTTCTATCGGTTTTTATTTTTAAAAAACGGTAGCGGTGGTTGTGTGTGTGTGTGTGTGGGGGGGGGTGTCAATGATGGCGATGGTGGTAGTGGCGGCGGCGGCAATTGTGGCAGAGGTGGTGATGACGGCGACGGTGGTGGTGACGGTGATGGTAGGTCGGTGATTCTGGTAGTGGTGTTAGGTGGATGGATGAGTGTGTTTGTACGTGGATGTGTTTGTGGGGATATGTGTGTTTGTGGAGTTGTGGGTGTAGGTGGGGGTTGGGGTGAGTGTGTATTTGTAGGGGTGGATGTGTGTGTGTGTGCTTGTGTGGGTGTGGGTGGAAGTTAGGGTGGGTATGTGTGTGTGTTTGTGTGAGTGTAACTGTGTGTTTGTGGGGGTGAGGTTGGATGTAAGTGTGTGTTTGTGGGGGTGAGGTTGGATGTAAGTGTGTGTTTGTGGTTGTGTATGGGTGTGTGTATGTGTGTGTGTGTTTGTGGGGATTGGGGTGGGCTGGGGAATGGGTGGGGATGGGTAGGTTAAGGGTGTGTTTATAGAGGTCGGAGTGGGTGTAGTAGATTATGGGTGTTAAAGTGAGGGTAGATAGAGGTGGGAGTGGGTGTATTTATATTTTAGAAAAAATTTGAAATTAAAAAAATATAGAAAACAATGATTATTGGTTTTCCAAAAATTTCCTTCTTTGTAATTTTAGAAAACAGAAACTTTTCATTTTCCGCGAAAAGTTTAGAAAAATAGACGAACTAAACGCATTTTCAAAATTTTCATTTTTCTTGAAATTTTTTTCCAGAAAACGGTTCATTTTTCTGACTAAATGCAACATATATCTTTTTTTTATTGTGATCGTTGCCAATCCTTTCAAGGGACATGTAAGGCACAACACTAAAAGAAAAGTCCATCATAAAGCCAAGCCCGAATGAATCACATGCCTATAACGTGATAAAATGCATAGAAAACCCAATGTCATGATAAAGATATTCACCATGGTAATAGCAATGTATACTTAAGGTATATGTGAATGAAATACATGATATGCATCCCTCGATTTTTTTATCATTGTGAATAGCTTTTTGACACACGTGGAATTGTCAACATGAATTCATCTCACATGCACCGATGAACCAGAAGTACCATGCATGCCCCAATGATCACAAATGCAAATGTCATACGTATATAACTAATGTTCATCAACGTATACAACTTGTAAGTACAAGATATATAAACTTATTTACCAAATACGACTCAGGTATATAAAAACACATGCAACACATAATCGCAATATAGGCAACGCATGCCCTTTACAAACATGACTCGTTTGTTGTATGTCATGTTTAAAACTAGATGTCACTTGGACGTTGAATTTCACATCCTTCCTACTTCTCGTGCAAGACTATGACCCTATCATAGTAAGTTTGACACAATAGCATTGGGATAGTAATAAGCAAACTTGTAACACATGTAATTTGTGACCAGAAGTTATAGAGGGTGTTTGGCATAGTTTTTAGATTGACTTTTTAATTTTTAACTTTTTCAAAAAGTTAAAAAAAAAAAACAAAAAAAAAATATGTTTGGATAATGGAAAAGTTATTTTAAAATGACTTTTTGCAAAGAGTAAAAGAAAGGGTTTCAAAAAGTCACGAAATCTAACTTTTTGTAACTTTACATATAAAAGTTAATTAAAAATCATTTTGCGTAATTCAAACACATTTTAAATAGCATCTTTTACAAAAAGTCCTTCCACTAAAAGTCATTCTACAGAAAAAGAACTTTTGATATTCAAGTGTAGTTATATAGAAATAATTTTCTTATTAAATTAAATATATTAAAAATTATAAAAACGAGGTATTTAAAAGTTTTAAGTTAAGTAATATAAAAATAGTTAAATTAAAATTTAGTTGTAATTGATTGGGTGAAAGTTGAAGTTAAAAGCTCCAAGGTTAGAAATTGAGGAATGAAATTTAAATGAACACATTTAATTAGGATATGCATGTATTCGTAAGAAATTTTATCATTGAATTAGAAGATAAGAGGGTAGAAAGGTTATTTAGTGTTGGGATATTATATGTATGTTAAGGGCCCAATCTTGCTAATTAAGAAAACTTAGGCATGACTTTGACTTAACATTGTTAACTAGATCTTGGACCTTAAATGTCAATATATTAACTAACTAGGTTTAAGGTAGGAATTGTGAAGTTAGAGATATTTATTGGGTGTTCATAACTTCATTTTGATACTAGAACTCCAATCGATCTTCAATTCTCCTATTCAGCTCACATTCTCTCAAACCAAATTCCCTTTGTTATCCAATATGAAAAAGTCCAAATGAGGGGAAGAAGAGAGGTTAGGTTTAAATGTTCAAAACTTTCACTAATTAGCAACTTAAGTCTTGTTACTTTCTAAAATTTGACTTGGTTCTAATATTGTTTTGTTTTAGATTCAAGTGTTCTAATACCAAAATATTGATAGAAGTTCATCTCATTGACCAATTTGAGTTTATGAAACTTCAATGGCGATTGTAAAACACTAACTACATGAATCAATCATTTGATCTAGTAAAACTTGAAGTTGATCATTGTCTAAGCTTAATGATATGATTTAGATGTAGGTTTTATGATTTTAAGTTTAAAATATGGTGTTAAACCCTTGAAGTGAAGCAATGATGGATCTAGGATCTTTAATGGAGTTTTTAAGCTCATTGGACGAATCTCTCATAAACTCAATAAGTTGTGACAAAATCATGTTTATAAGACCTAATTATGCTTTGTAGTTAGGTATTGCCATCATCATTCCAAATCATAAATGAAAATCATTTGTAGAAATCAATATTTTAGTTTGAGTAATTACACGAATGGTTCCTATGGTTTAATGTAATTTGTGCGTTTGGTCTCTAACTTATTTTTTTAACTCAGAAGGTCTCTAATGTTTGTTTTTGTTACGCACTTGGTCTCTGTCCTACCTAAAAATAATATTTTTCTCTTGATTTTTTAATTTATTTAAATAAACACACCACTAACCCCACCCTCCTCAACGTACCTTACCTACCTGACCATTTTTTTTTTCTTTTTAAATATGATATTTTACACAATTAAGAATTATATCGTGCTTATGAACCCTTCATATACCTTAAGGAGCTTGTTGGATGTTATTATACATTATGGATTTTTCATAGGAGCTTATTGAAGGTAGTCTACACTTTGAGGTGACTTCATTACCCGAGAATATGTGAACTTTTGAAACTTTCCTTGATATAGTTAAGGAGGTTGTTGGATGTTATTACACATCACTAAGATTTTCAAGCCTAACTATTTGTTTTGTCATGTATTAAGATCAATAGACTTAGTAGAAGACCATGATAGACTTAACATTTTGGACATTTAGAAGACGAAATGATTAAGATATTTATATAAGGTTGTTTACTTTATATTTGTCTTCATCGTTTTGTGGCATCTTGTATTCATCCGACACATCAAACATTTTCAACTAGTTGAGGATTTTACCGTTTAGGACCTTTATCTACAATTTGTTTTGCTTAAAATAATTGTGTTTTACAAAAACAACACAAAACCTTTATTTTAAAAGGACTATTACAATAAAAAGACTATTTCAAATAGCATATACCATTTTTATAATTGTCTAGATTAAGTGCTTAACTCATAATATACTAATTAAGCTCGTTAACTCAAAAACAAACAAAACCATGTTTAGAATCATTATGTAATATAGATCAAAGCATATACTATATTATATATTTATATATATTTGGATTCTTAATACAATATGAGTAAAGAGATATGCGTTCCTCTGGTTTACATGACTGTAGCTCTCTTCCCTTCATGTTTATGCAGTAACAAACTGCTTATAAATCAACATTAAAGAAAGTTGACAATACTAGTCCCTGAACAAACTCACTTTGTCGACTTTTCTCCTCCTTATCTTCACCAGAAACTATACCACCCTTCTCTTTCTCACTCCTGAACATAAATTTAAATCCTCATATCACTAACAAAAAGTAAATTTGGTTTTTATACTTTTTTAATTTATAAACTTTTATTTATTTATTTATTTAGACACACCAGATTTTATCTAACAAAAACCTATTCATAATCATGAATTTTCTTCATCTATTTGTCATTTTTTTAAAAAGCGTGTCATGTTTTTAATGAGAAAGATTATTTGAGAATACAATTCGTGTCATGTTTTTAATAAAAAAGATTACTTGACGATAACATTTAATGAAATAAATATATTTCAATAACCAGAAATTAAAAGATAGCCACGTGTGTCTCTTTTTTTTTTTTAAATATAAAAGTTGATTAAATAAATGCAATTACATTTTTTTTTTTCTGTATAAAGATTTGCAACTGAAATAATTAAAGCTGTAATGCAAGAATTGACATAGTGCTTCTTACCTTGTAAAGAAATCGTTATTTGAGCCTTCCACTATTGAAACTGCTGCAGTAGAGGAATGAGATTGATCTTTTGACACGTCATCATCAGGGGTATTATTGTAAATAAAAGAAGACAGCAATGGATCAGGTTCTGTGTTCATAGATGATGATGGAATCAGAAATGAAGAACCTCCAAGAACAGACTGCAAGTTTCCTTCTCTTAATTCCTTTTTCAAAATTGAAAAAGTTGAATTTGATCCAACTCTACGCAATCTCCTCTTGCGTTGAACGTTTTATTAAGTCAAGAAATAACAACATAAAATAATTTTTATAATAAAAAAAAAGATCCAAAATGTTAGATATTAGTAAAAAGGATATCTTTAGAAGACTTCCATGTTGCATTGTAATATGGCTCACTAAACCAGTTCCCACTTTTTTTGCACATATGGGGCATACCTGTAAGTATATATTAACATTTTTGGGGGTTTATTATATTTTATATGTAAGAAGAAAGTGGTGAAAAACTGAAAATGATAATGATAATGATAATGATAATGATACCCCATTCTTTGCTTGAACTGTGTGTTCTTCATCGATGTGACAACAGAGACCTACGATGTCAAAATCTTCAGCACAGAATGGGCATAAGTACTCAGGTCGTGGTTCATCATCGGTTTCTTCTACAAGATGAAATGCGTCTGATTAGAAACATGGATGTTAGAATTGAAACTGATTTCAATGGAATCGGAATCTATAAAGAAGGATTAAAAGATAACGGGAGTTTAATTTGGTTGATATGCTTATATGAGCTTTAATTAGGGTTTGTGTTTGTTTGTGTAAGTTGAGAGATAGATAGTTCGTGAATATAGAACAAAGTATTGGAGAAAAAGGAGAGATTTTGGTTTCTAAGGCTAGAAATCGAAAAAATCTTAAATTTCTACTTCGTCTTTCATCATTTGTTTTGAGATTTTCTCTAGTTTGCAGAAGGATAGATGAACGATAAGATCATATTTTTTCGAAAACACAATCGTTGATCACTGCATATGAAATTAGCATCATTTCCCCCCCCCCCCCCCAAAAAAAAAAAAAAAGCAAAACAGAAAAATGGAACTTTTAAACCCTAACACGCTTTTTAGAAAAACGTCGGTGGATATCAAAATAATTCATATGCATTTCTTAGTGATTTATCGGAAGAGAGGTAAACCTAACAGTTTGAATCAATCAATCGCATGATCAATTGATCATATACACGTACTTCAAAATTAAAGTAAGCAATAGTGAATTCCTAAAATCATTGCAATTTCTAACGCGGTTTCTCAAAAGAAAAATCAAATTAACAAAAAAAAACACAAACCTGATCGAGATTGATACCGCCTTAGAGAAGAATTCGAAGTAGAGAAACGAGTCCATGAATTTGTGTCCATTTCCTTTGATCCGAATCGTGAATGTTCAAATTTATCTCAAATAAGAAAAAAAATCCCGAATTTTTTAGGGAAATTCAGATAATCTGTTTGATCATCCGTCGATAAACACAAATTTGTGTATGTATTGGTTTGATTTCGGAGGAGAAAGTTGTGTAATTTCTAGAGATAGAGAGAAAGAGAGCACAGAGGAACTCTCCACCAAACTCCCCTGCTCAGGGTATGTTAATGTTATATATTGTTAGCTTCTTACAGACCATAAAGTCCCTCATGTTTGTAGGAAAGTTATATTTGACCCTTTAAGTTTTAATGTTGTTTCACTCGAGTCCAATGGCAATTTTAATAGAGAAAAAAGATACTAAAATAGTCAAATTTCTATATAATCTGGTATAAAATAGCCTAAACTTTCATAAAATAGCCTAAACTTTCACATGTTCTTCAAAATATTCTCTTATTTTGCAATGATATATTGTAAAATTTAAATATTAAAAAGATTAATACTAAGATATTTTCTCTTAATCTTGTTCTTATCAGGAAATAATTTATATATTTACAAAAAATATTTTCTAACCTGTATTTTAAGGACACATATGAGAAAAACTATTAAGAAATATTATTATAATTAAATATCAAAATATATGGTATTTCATATTTTTACAATAATGAATATTCTTTATAATTAATTTACTTCACATTTAATTATACTAATATTTTTCATAATTAATACTTCTTATGTGTGCTCTTAGGATACTTATAAAAATCTTATTTTTTTACATTAATTTTTGTAAATTTCTTTCAACATAAGAGTTGTTTGATAGTTATTGATTGTGTCAAATCAATGTTTGATTAAATCAGACTCAATCTCTATTAGCCCCGATAAAAGATATATCAATAGTTATAGGAATGAATCATAGGCTTTTAAGTATGATATTAAACAGTCTGAATTTAACCGAGTCAAACTGAACCTCTTATCAGGCCCTATAAGAAACATATCAAAAAGGCTTTTTCGCAATATAAAGCTTGATGGGATTTCCTAACATATATCGATATACGTTTTGTTGGATCTAATAAAAGTTGGGCCCGATTCAATCAAAATTAACTTGACTCAATTAGTAACTATCAAATAACTCTTATGTCGAAATAAATTTACAAATTTTAATGTAAAAATAAGGAAAAAAAATGTCGTAAATATAAGAGACTAATTTCATATTGAATAGTCTTTTTTATGTGCAATGTGAAATATATGGCTATTTTAAGGAATATATAAAATTTTGGATTAAACTTTGGTAATACAGACACACTATTGTACATTTCCTTTTTATAACAAAATGAACATACACTTATTCCCAAAATCAAGTTAAAATTAAACATTTTGGGTTAACTTTAATTACATATACATAAATTGTCAATTTGGGAAAAGAAGACAAATGAAATAACAATTTGATAAAAGATATGTTACTCATACAGTGGATTGATGGAGATTTATGTTGATTAAGTCGATTAAAATGGACAATAATACTATTGCCAATAAGAATATAACTTTACTTGAGTATATAAGTAGGAAAGTGGAAAAGTATGATGACATGTTTATCAACTTTGTCAACTACATCTCGTTTCAAAGGCAAGATGCATCCAATAAATCAACTTTAACAAATATTTATTATTTCAATCCTTATATTTTTGTGTATACACAAAACCTTATTCAACTTTAAAAGTAAGTTATAATATTGGAAACATTGGAATACCGACTATAATACACTTATACACCTATAAATTTCAATATCACTTTTACAAATCAATATCTTAATCATATTTCATATATATTCGTATCATATTTTATTATAATACACCCATATATAAAATTATTGAAAGATTATATTAATCAGTCATAATAAGGCCGGTCGGGACACCCTCTACCGCACTGCCCCTCTACCGCACACTGGGGTTGCTGATTTGGCGTCGCAATGTGCGGCAAACACAATTCCGACCCCCCCCCCCCCCTAACACACTCAAGATCCTTACCGCAGGTGGTGATCTTACCGCGATTGGTTTGGACCGTTTTAGCCTTTTGACCATTGACAAAAATCAATTTTTCAATTTTTTTTTCCTAATAATTCAACTATAAAATTAAAATCATACCTCACACATATATCACACACAAGATTTTCAATTCTACAAGTTTTCAAACCTCTTTCTTCCAAAAAAATGAGTCCAAGCAATCCTCAATTTACCACTCGAGGCAAATCACGTCCAAATGTTCGACCGTTTGATATGTTAGTATACCGAACCTGACTTGATTTATCCATGATTTTGCCCCATCCCCAACAAGTTTACTATTGCCCCGTGTAACCTCTAAGCTCAAATATGTTTCAAAAAATTTCCTCGCTTCCCGAATATATCCCGGATGTAGAATTTGTCCGGGAAACACAACCTGATCCCGAACCAATAACTGAACCCAAACCGGTAACCGAAAACGAACCAGACGTTATTCACGAACCACAAGCCGAACCATCAACTGCAAAAAACATGGGAAAGGAAAAGCATCAGTTTTGGTAAAAGAGAAGGTCGCGGCTCAAACAATAGCAACCGGATGAAGAAATGACATTAGTCGAGTCATGGGTTAATATTTCTGTGGATTCACAAATCGAAAATGCGCAAAAAGATGAGCACTTTTGGCGATCCATTATGGAGTCGTTTATAGTGTAATGGGTCATGGGGAATACCATACAAAACACCAATGTTGTAGCAAGTTTTGAGAGATGAACAAGTCGGTTACTAAATTCAATCGCATTTACAAGAACTTGCTTACTCAATGGAAAGGGGGGGGGGGAACGATCAACAAAATTTTGAGATGAAGCTTAAAATATATTTTGTTGATATTAAAAAGTGTTTCAAATTTATTGATGTTTGGAGATTTTTATCTGCATCTCCAAAACAGATAAAAGAGTACAGGGAAGAAGAAGAATTTGGTGAGAAAATAACAAAAGTTTCGGAGACAAGTTATACTACTTCATCGGATGCGCATTTTGGGATTGATTTGAACAGAATGGATGAGCTCGAACTTGAAAAAGTAGTTCGACTAATGGGGCAAGATAGAGCGAAAAAGAAAGGGTCTTCATCAAATACATCGGGTGTTGGAAGTGGTTCTGACATTCAAAATGTCTCATCTAGTTTTGAAATTTATAATTTGAGTTTCGAACGTCCCTTGAATTTCGAGAAAGAAAAGATGGAAGAGAAAAAAAAAAACACGGGAGGCGAAACAAAAAACTCATGAGGAGAAACAAGAAGCACATGATTTTGAATTTTTAACAAAACCAACTGATCATCTCACCAGCAACGATCTCAAAATGACTTTAAGGGCTATAACGAATATTCATAAAAAAATATTACAAATAATCGTATTTGGTAGTCGTTTTATTGTAATTGTCGTATTATCTATGTAGTCGTTTTATTTAAATTATTGTTTTATCATCGTAATGGTTTTAATTAAATTAATGAAATATTTTCCTTTTCTTAATTTTAAAAAAATTCATTTTTATTAAATTACATTCAATTTAAAAATAAAAAATTAAAAGTGTTAGCGATTTACTAATAAGATAGAAGGGGCTTTTTTGCTTTGAGTAAAGCAAACTCCCTCATTGGACGAGCACGGGCTTATTCAGGTAGAACCGGGTTGCGCTGTTGGATGCTCCGATCGAAAAGAAATCGGTGGGGCCATGCCGACACGACTGAATATGCGTTAGAAAGGTCAATCCTTCCCCCACGACAAAAAAAAAAGCGTGCCAAACATCTAACAGACCACCTGCTTCCATAGAAAAATATCGTGGCAACGTAGACCTAAGTGAAGTGGTTGTATTGGATCCTTGGGAACCATCACAAGTACGACCGACATCTATTTGTTTAAATGAGAATGTTGTGTCGTGTAGCGGAGTCTAGAAGAAGATGACTCGCTCAGACAGCCGACTCCTTTCAAAGAAAAGAATAGCAAAACCAACCCAGTTGGCTGTCAATCTCAGAAAGAAAATATGTCGGCAAACCGGAGACGTACGACCACAATCCTGACCTTACCAGCACTAATGGTGTACTAATTAATGAACCCTTGAAACCTACTTTCTTTTCCGACAAAATCACACCCACCAGTTTTAGAAGGTGAATGAAAAGTGATGTGGCGATGACGTGACACTGTAGTAATGTGTTAAGAATGGTACGGTATTCAGTAGTCTTACGGAATGTGCTTTAAAACTTTAAAATATAAACTTAACAATTGTTTCATATAATAAAAAACAATATTTTATTCCAATGTAGATGAAGTATGCAAATCCAAAAACAATATATTGAAAAGTACATGTTCCAACAACAAAGTGGCTTAAATGTGATTTCAAGAAATGAAATAAATAGATAGAAAAAAAATCTATATGTTTGAGTAAATACCGAGTATTGAATGAAGATATATTATAATGAAAACTTCTAAAGTATGAATTTTGGTTCTTTATTTTTTGTGGTAAACCTAAAATATATTATTAATATGATCTGATGAAAAGAAACGTCTAGCTCTCGTAGCTCAGTTGGTTAGAGCACCCGTTTAGTAAGCGGGAGGTCTTGAGTTCGACTCTCAACGAGAGCACACTGTTTTTTGCTATTGTTTACGACTTATCTTTTGGGCTTTTACTTGGCCAATGAGCTCTATTTTTTCTTAGTTCAATTATATTTTATTAGCAAACTGAATGTTTACTTAGTTAAGATTACATTTTATATTTAAAATGTCTCATTTTTTTTTCAGAATTTTTAAAATTACAACACATGTAGATAAAGAATAAATCATTCTGGAATCTGGACAACTCATCTAGAAAAAACATAATGTTCGTTTCACTTGGGTTTTAAAAGTAAATAATATATAATGATGGGCTTCGTGATAGATCGATTTTGGTAAATACAGTGCATTTTATCTTTTTTGTTTCGAATTAAAGTTTTTATATCTAATATAGTAAGGAATTTAGAAACCATGGTAGTGTAAAGCATAGAGAATGAAACCCTAGATCGAATTATTTGCTTAATTGAAAGACCAATCTAGGGATTTGATGAATATTACTTAAACTATTCTTTAATCGGTTACAAAAACATCGATATTTTATTTAAGTCAAAGTTTGTCAAACAATGATATGGTTATTCCTTAATTGGGTGGTGGATTCATGTAGACTTTT